AAAGTGGACCTCCACAAGAGCCAGGCTGGGGAGCAGGAGGCCGAGCACCCTGATGGTCAGTCACCACCTGCCCCAATTCTGCCCCTCGGCCGGGCTTCAGACCTGGCCCCACCGAGCAGAGGGAAGGCTGGGTCCCCAGGCAGAAGGAAGGAGACTGGGAAACAGGCCCGTGGAGGATCGGGAGGGAACGGGGAGCAGCCAGCCGGCAGAGAACAAGGCTCGCTGCCTTCACACAGTTGCCAGTGCCCAGGCCTCTCCTGCCTGTGTGGCCAGTGAGTTCACGTGACCCTCTATGAAGCCGGACAGAAAAGGAAAGCTAAGGCGTGAGGAAGTGAGCCCAAGAGCACAAAGAAGGAGCCAGTCCTCCTGGGGGCACGCTTATCACAAGCGCAGGGGCCACTTGCAGGAGGACCCACCCCAATTTAATCTCACTCAAGCCCTGCCCCAAACCCCACCATAGAGCTTTCAGCCCAGATATCTTCCCTATTGCCCCACCCTCCACTTCAGCATTCACTCTTGCCCCCCTCCTCCCGCAGCCTGGCCCACTGCTCCTCCTTCAGAACTATCAGAGGGCCCCGCCCCCGCCCCGCCCTTAACTCCTCCCTCCCCACGTTCACAAGGTCACACCTCTATCTGCCTCAGTGTTGACTCCTCCCTCTCCATCCTCACAAGGCCCCTCCACCCTCCCTATTCCCAGCTTCCCTGCTTCCTACTCCTCCCTGAGAACTTTCACATGGCCCCAACCCTCCCCAGCCCCACTGCTAATTCCTCCCTCGCCATGTTCACAAGGCCCTGCACCTTCTGCTTTTAAATCCTCCCTCTCCAAATTCACAGGGTCCAATCTCCTCCTCCCCTCCCCTCCCTTGCTCCTCTCTAGGAACTTTCATAGAGCCCGCCCCCTCCCCAGCCCAGACATTAACTCCTCCCTCCCTACGTTTACTCAGCCCCACCCCCTCCTCCCCTTCTCACCTTCCTGCTCCTCCTTGGAACTTTTACTTGGCCATGCTCCTTCCCACACCCCGCCCTTAACTCTTTCCTCTCCTTATTCACATGGCCCCACCCCTCCACAGCAGTTAACTCCTCCCTAATTACTTTCACTGGATCCTGACCCCCCCACCTCCCCAGCTCCCTGAATCTCCCTAGGAATTTCCACACAGCTCCCACCCAACCGTGAACTCCTCCCTCTCCACTTTCACTAGGTCCCGCCCCCTCCTCCCCTCCCCTCTCCAGCTCTCTGCTCCTCCCTTGAATCTTTCATATGGCCACACCCCCTCCCCCTGGCAGCCCAGCCCTTAACTCCTCCTTCCCAATATTAACAGGCCCTGTCCCTCCCCTCCCAACCCTGCCCGCTGCTACAGGACATTTCCACCCCTATCTCAGTACCCTCAGCCTTGCCCTGCCCCAAATCAGCTTGGCCTCAAATTATACCACACCACTCAGAGCCTTGCCCTACTGCCCCAGAGCTCCACCCCTAATTCATTCCAGCACCCCCAGCCCAGCCTTACTCCAACTCAGACAGGTTTGTAGCACAGCCTTTACAGCCTTGCCCTGCTACCCCAGAGCCCAGATCCTAACTCTATCTCAGCACCCTCAGCCCTGTCCTACCCCTCCCTGCCCCAATTATACCATAGCCCTCACAGCCCTACCCCCATTTCAACCTCTGAAACCACAACCCTGCCCTCCTCCACCCCAGGTTAAGATCAGCAGTCACTGCCCCGCCTGGAATTTTCACAGAACTCAAGGACCCTGCTGCAACTGTACCTGCCTACAGGGCCTACCCTGCTTCATCCTGAGCCTCACCCCAAATACTAAGCTTTCAGTCCTGCCCCAACTACCTCAGCAGGCACAACCCCAGCTCTCACTGCTCCCCCACAGTTTTCCCACAATTCTACCTCAGCACTCAGGCTCCACCCAACACCTCCCATGGCCCCGCCTCCAACCCCTACTTCAGCACTCAACCCCGCCCCCAAACCACCTCAGGACCCAAGGCCCTGCCCTCAAGTCTGCCTTACCATCAGCCCACAGGCTTCACCCAAAGACAGCCCTAACTAGTACTCTTTCAGCCCTGCCCCTAAATGTCTCTTCAGCATCAAGGGCCACCCCACTCTTTCAGCCCTGACCCGTTTCATTTGTTCCTACCCCACCCCCAAGTTTACCTCACTCCTAGCTGACCACAGAAGCTCAGTCCAAGCTGCTGTCTAGGCATTCAAACTGGCTCCAAAGGAGGACCAGCCCCCAATTTAATCTCGAACTCAAATTCCACCCCCAACTGTACCATAGAACTGCCATCCTTTATGTCTTCCTTATTGCCCCGCCCCCACTATCAGCATTCACAGTCCCGCCCACTGCTCCTCCCTTGGAACTTTCATATGGCCCCACCCCCTCCTCAGACCTACCATTATCTCCTCCCTCAAACTTCACAGGGTTTAGTGTCCTTCCCCGATTCCCAGTTCCCCTATTTCTGGCTCCACCCTCAGAATTTTCACATGTACTGCCCCCTCCCCAGCCCCACTGTTTTTTTTTTTTTTTAATTCAACACTGACATTTCATTTTCTGAAGTTTATCATTTTCACAAAACAAAATGCAGGTATCAAAAACAGCAAAGAGTTTATAGAATTTCTGCACCAGTTTTCACATGTCAGTGATTATGAAACTGGTATCCAATGTAAATCCTAGACACAGGCTGATTTCCTTCTTGGTCATATGCATTCAAGTAGTTTATTCGGGAACCACTGAATACTAACAACTTTTTACAAGCACCAGTCATGTTTTGAGGACCAATTTGGTTTGTCCAATGAAGTAAACAATGTTTTGCTGTGTGGCATTTTCTTTTGTAAAAGACACTGAGCTGAAACACAGACTGTATTTGATTGGATCTGAACCAAATCCTTTGAAACCCCAATTAACCTGAAGAATACTGAAGATATTTATAGGGCATATCAAATGGTATATTAAATATTTGTCATATATCATATAATATATAAAGCAGCTAGTGTATTTCTAAAGAAAATAGTATTTCATTCAAAGACTGCCCAGAATTAAAATTGCAGCATAGTTTATGCATCCTCTCTTGATTTGCAGTAATTTCCCCAAAAAGACCCATATTATGGGAAGAAAAGTTCGATGTTTCTGCCAAACAGGATCTAATATTTTATAGGTACATTTGTATAGAGCAAGATTCCTTGTTCTGGACCCTGGGTGACCATAAAGAAATTGAGAGGCCATGATAATTGGATGCTAAAAAGTAGTAGCATACTTAAAACTCACGGCAGATAATCTGGAGGCAAACAAAAATAAAGCTGGAAATTAGTAGTGGTGCTCAGCTACCACTTGTTCTGAAAACACATTTTCCTTAAATAAGAAGAATGGTCCAGTTTTGCAATGTGAGTAGCTGCCAGTCTCTCATATATACTTTTTTTTAAAAAAATAAAGATCATTTCCCGACTAGTAATGAGTTTGGAAACTGGCCTCAAATTCTGATCAAATCTCTCAGTATTAATTAAAAATAATACAAAACATAAAAACCAGCCAATATGAGTTTAAAATCACACAAAGTTCAATGTAAATTATACGATATACAGATTGGTATACATATCATTGAAATGATTATGAGAAGGTGAAATACTCTTGTTGAAATAAAATTTCCTCTACATTATCCCAGTTTTCATTAAAGAAAAAACTGATACGTAATTTTCTTTTTACAGATATGAAAAGGAAGCAAGATCGCAAAGCTGAGAGAAACAGATGCTACCCACAGGGCGGTGGTGGCATTTGATTGTTTTGGTCTTTGTACCATCAACTCCCACTTGCGTGGCAAGTAGCCAGTTCCTGCTGGACTACACGGTTTTCCTTGACACAGTGTTCTTCGACATCCTGGATCCCAGCCGGAGGACTCCTCTTGGCGCTGGCTCTACCTCATAAGCCCAGCCCGGTGGGAATCCACAGCCCAGTGCTTGACCCACTCCCCAGCCCCAATGTTAACTCTTCCCTCTCCAGGTTCACAGGGCGCTGCATGGTCCCTGCTGTTAACTCCTACCTCTCCAACTCCACAGGGTCCCAACCCCTCCTTCCCTTGGCTCCCCTCCCTTCCCTCCTTTGCCCTCTCCTTCCTTCCCCTCCCCTCCCCTGCTCCTTCCTTGGAACTTTCACAAGGCCCCACCCCTTTCCCATCCCAGCTGTTATCTCCTCTCTTGCTTTTACTCAGCCCCATCCCTTCCTACCCTGCCCAGCGGTGTGGTCCTCCCAGGGAGCTTTCACATGGCCTGTCCCTCCGCAGCCCTGTCTTTAACTTTTCCCTCACCACTTTCAGTAGGTCCTGCCCCCGCCCCCTCTTCAGCTCCTTCCTCGGACGGTTCACATGGCCACCCTCCCTCTCAGCTGTTCACTCCTCCCTCACCACTTTCACTGGACTCTGCCCTCCTCCCCTCCCCAGCTCCTTGCTCCTCCTTGGAACTTTCATATGGCCACGCGCCCTCTCCAGCCCCATCCCCTGTACCTCCTTAGGAACTTTCACATCGCCTGTCTCCTCCCTAGCCTTGTGATTAACTCCTCCATTGCCACTTTCACTCGACCCCGCCTCCCCCTTCTCCATCCCAGCTCTAAATTCCTCCCTGGGAATCTTCACAGGGACTCACCCCATTCCCAGCCCCGCAGTTACCTCCTCCCCCGTCGTGTTCAAAGGCCCCGCTCCCTCCCCTCCCGGCCCCTCCTGCTGCTCCCTAGGCACTTTCACATGGTCCTGCCCTGTGCCTCCAAATCCCAGCCTCCTCCCTGACAGGCAGCACCATCCTAAACTGCCCTCATCCCGCCTCTTCCTTCTCCTCTGGTTCATTTCCTCCACCTACTTCCGCCTCATCCTCCGGAGCCCCGTTCTCTTCGGGAGGACTTCAGTGCGTGTATACCCAATTGCGTGGCTTCTTACACTCCCATGAGTACTTGCGTGCCAGTGGCCTGATTGGCTGAATAGGAACGCAAGGCGTATGTGAGTGCGCACTGTGTATGGGGAGGACGCTCACTGGTGCATACTTCCTGCCTAGGCCTTTCCCAAAAGCGGCTGCGAAGTCTGGGACAAGGCAGAAGAGTGGATGCCTGCGAGCTGAGGTTAGTGACCTGCCAGCCCCTTGCAGCCTACAGCAGGGTCGGCACAGCTCCCTTGCAGGACATCCACTCCGTGACAGTCTAATTGCCTCAGGAGGGCGCCAGAGCCTGTCTTCCACTTCCAGTGCCATACTGGGACTCTGGCAGGCAGAAGACAGTCATGGCAGCTGCCTGGGGCCCGGATAGGGGCAGTGCGCGCGAGTCCAGAGGGTAGCAGGTTCCCACTGCCATGATCTGCAGAGCCAAGCCCTGAGTGGGGTCTTAGGTGGGTTCCCATGAGACCGACGCCCTTGGATCTTCTTGGTCATCGGTACTTGCCGAGTAGGGAGGGACTCCCTGATGTCATTTGCCAACACTGCTGTCTTGCACTTGACCTTTTCTCCTTGTCTCCCTTGCCCTTGTGCAGGTGAAGAACCTGAGAGGAGCAGCAGAGGAGTATTCCTCCTTGAGGCACAAAGCAGGTACTCTCAGCAGCAGGCAGCACAGCACCCTCCCTCTTCCGGCGTATGCAGATACATCTTTTCTCACTAGGAGGCGCTCTGCCCCCACAGCTCACGTTTGAGTGGGGTAGTTTTGTGGAATTGATGAGAAAAGTGTTGGCTTAAGAAACCCGGTAGTGCTAAAGCAGGCGAACCTTCTTTCTAATCACGTGCTGCAATGCAGTAGGAGAAGTAGAAGTGGCAAGGCCCTGGGGAAGCAGTCTCCCTCCTTCAGAATCCCTGCACATCAGAGGAGTACGGTGATGCTTCGTCCCTCATCAGCAGAAGAATGACGTGTGGCCTTGACACGTCTGAGGAAAAGGCACCATTTGTAGGTGGGGTGTAATTCTGGGGAAAGCCCTTTGCTGACAGGTGTCTGTGTCTTCGATGTGCATGCCTTATGACCCTGGCATCCTCTCACACCTCTTCACACTACGACTGCTAGTGGTAATGCCATTTCTAGTGGCACACATGAGAAGGACCTTGCATCTGTCTTGGAGCAGAGCAGTGGTTGGGTAAATTATGGGGCAGCCAACCAGGGGCACCACAGAGGCAGTGGAGAGAAAGGCAGATGAAGGTGTACATGCAGAGAGAATGCGTGGTGTGCCATTCAGTGGGAAGTCAGGCTCTGCCCTGCGGACATGTTCAGGGAACAGTCCGTGCCTGTGTGTTTTGCCCAGGGGGCTGTAACAAAGTGACTAAAAGAACAGGAATGCACTAGCTCACATTTTGTATGCTGGAAGTGTGGATCTAGGATGTCAGTCTCCAGGTCTGTTCCTTATGTGGGCTGTGAGACACAGTCTTCCTGTCCCTCTCTTGAAGCTTTTGGTGTTTGGCTGGCAGTCTTTGTCAGTCCTTGACTGGGGCAGTCATCACCCTGCTGTCTGCCTTCATGTTCTCATGATTCCCCTGGTCTGACTCTAAATCCCCCCTTTTACGACAACACAGCTCATACTGGATGTGGGCCGCCCAAGTGACTTCATTTTGACTTGATTGCCTTTGTGGAGTCCCTTTCTTCATATGTAAGATCGCATTCTCAGATGCTGGGTTAAACATGTGAACATATGAATGTTTTCTTGCTTGTTTGCTTTTTGAAGCAGTGCCTCACTATGTCCTTGAGGCTGGCCTCAAACTCCTGCCTCAGCCTCCTGAGTGCTGAGATTACAGGCGTGTGCCACCACACCTGGCTCAAACACAGGAATTTGAGGGGAAACAATGCGCCTCTTAACCCACTGCACAGGCCCTGGGGTAGGAGTGAGCATGGCAAGTTCCCGGTGGAGGGAAGGCCTGTGTGGCTGCAGGCTGTGGTGACTGACCGGAAGAAGAGAGCCGGGGAGGGGGAGTTAGACCACAAGGGACCTGGTGGGCCCTGGAGTGACATGAGGTGCTTGCTCCTGGAACAGGGTCATTCTCAGTGAGGCATGGAGAAGTGCCCAGGCAGGGGCTGACCAGGACAGTGCTTGAGAAGCCAGAGGTCAGAAGGGGATGAGATGTGGTGTGGTTTGAGAGCTGGGGCGTGGTGACTTAGGTGGTGGTGAAGGTACAGGGTTGGGTAGCAGACAGGTGTAGGGCCTACCCCAGCCTATAGGGGGCAAGCATGTGTCTCTGGGATGGCAGCAGTACGGGTCCCCAGTCTGTGTTGGCCCAACTACATAAGGCTGAGATGAAGAAGATATGGCCTGTTCAGCGGAGCCAGAGCAGGCCAGCAAGCACCATGGAAACCTGGGAGGAAGGGAGAGCAGCAGGGTGGCCAGCCTGACAAGGGCGGCTGAGCCTTAAGTGAGAAGAATATAGAACTGGCCAGGGCCAGTTGGTGTGGGGACAGCGCTTAATGAGGTTGCTGCTGGGCAGGGCTGTGGAGAAGGGAGGCGGAAGCACCTCCCTTGCCTTAAGGAAGGTGATGCAGGCACTGTCCTTGCCCTCGGGAAGCCGAACTGTCTGCTTGTGGAGAGGAAGCAGTGATGCTGTGTGAAAAGAGCCAGGGGCATGGCCGAGGCAGTGGAGTGAGCCCAAGGGACAGACCCCCAGCTCCCAGCATAGGAAGGGCGGGTGTGGCTGGTACAGCTCCCCCTGAGTGGCAGGAGGAAGACCAGAGACCTGGTGCTGACGCTGGGTATGTGGGTGCGGGTGGGAGCAGAGCCAGGCCACGCTCGTCCTGACAGGGCCTTGTCTTCGGTGGCTGGGCCTGTTTTCCCAAAACCATTAGCTGTACTGGAGGTTGAGCACCGTGCTGACAGAAGGAGCCACGAGGCAGCCCCCAGACAGGACAGCTCGCAGTAGAGAGCAGAGCAGGCTGAGGCCTGGGTGTCACTCCTGCAGCTTTGGCCGAGTGGCCTCCAGTGGGGGCTCTCTTGCCAGGTGCCGTGTCCGGCCGGATTCTCTTGCCCCTTGTTCCCAGTCCTCACTCAGAAATGGAGCCTCAAAAAAAAAGAAATGGAGCCTCATGGCAGCTGAGACCAGGTTGAGGTTCTGGCCTCAAGCCCGGCGCTCTCCTGGCAGGGCCCCACCTCTTCCCACTGCACAGGCAGTCCTCTACACAGCGGAGGGACACACGAAGGCGGGAGGGCCCTAGGCAGGGCTGTGTCACTGCAGCCCTACAGGAGACCTGGCGCTGGTACTGACCCTGCTGCGTCCTTTGAAGGTTAAATTTGGTCACTCAGAGTCATGACCATCCCAGGACCTGGCACATAGAGGACACATGAACCCTCAGGTCATTGCTTTTGATCCCATCATTCCTTTCGCATGCCCAGCGGAAGGGAGGGTCACCGAGGAGGGTGACACCCGCCCGGTCTGGAGGAGTCACTGCTGGGGCCACTTGAGGTCGCCCAGTGTCTTGGCAGATGAGCTGGGGCCGGATGCAAGGATCTGTGCTCAGCAGCCCCGAGGTCTGAGCCAGACAGACTGCGGCCTGCAGCTCTTAGGCTGGCAGGGCCAGGGAGCTGGAGTATTGGCGGGGGCGGCATGGGCCAGCAGGAAGAGCGCAGAGCCAGGTCTCCTTCTCCCTGCTGAAGCCGGAGCACTTGGCTGTGAAGCCTGACTAGGCCGGGGCCCCTGCCTCCTCGGGGCTCCCTAGGGCTAGCTGGCCGCTTTCGTAGCCCTGCGCATGCGCTGTCTGCCTGCCCCTGTCTCTAGCTGACGCCCACTTTCTCCATGAGCTTCCCAGAGACCCCATCGGCTGGAGCCCAGTCGCCTCAACTCCAGCCCTTTGCATTGGGGCCGTCGGGGGGAGGGTAGCAGTGACCCCGAGGTGACAGAAGATCCGTGGGGCTTGAGGGCGTCCCGGGGACCTGTGGGAAGGCCGGGCCTGCTGCTCTCGAACCTGACAGGTGGCATGTGCTGTGCTTCTGTGTTCAGGCCCAGGAGCCCGAGGAAGATGAAGTTTGGCTGTCTTTCCTTCTGGCAGCCTTACGCTGGTTTTGTCTTAAATGGAGTCAAAACCCTGGAGACTCGGTGGCGTCCCTTGCTGAGCACCCACAAGAACTGTACCGTCGCCATCCACATCGCTCACAGGGACTGGGAAGATGACAGCTGGTGGCAGCTGCTGGTGGAGAGGCTGGGGATGAGCCCCGCGCAGATTCAGGCCTTGCTGCAGGAAGGGGAAAGGTTCGGCCGAGGCGTGATCGCTGGTAAGCGAGGCTGTGCCGCGGGGGAGCGGACCGACTGTGCCCGCCGTCCTCCGGGGTGGGGTGCTGGCCCGAGGCTTCTGTCTGCCTGTGGGCCGGTGGAGCATCTGCTGCATTGGCCTACACAGCACCCCTCCTCTGGGCCACAAAGCGCACTGGGCTGGGGATCCTACCCCACCCGACCTCCGGAAATCATTTCTGTCCTCGGCCTCGCTTCCTGTGTGTGGTCTGGGACGCTAGGTCAGGACCAAGTGTGTGTGTGTGTGTGGGGGGGGTCTGTGTGTCATGCACATGCGACAGCATCCACGAGAGGCAGCACGGCACACCGCCAATTGGGTGGCCTCTGGAGTCACACCACCTTCCCCACCTCACAGCCCTGTCCTGATGCTACTGCCCACAACACCCAGGACAAGTCTGCTCATCCCTTGGCGGCTGAGGTCCTGCATCACCACCTGTCACTTGGTGACCTGCTTAGCCATCTCATTGGCTGTTGGCTCCCCAGAAGTGGCTGCTGCCCTCCCAGTATGTCCCTGTCACCCTCAGCAGTCTTGCCTATCCCTTGTGTGGCTTCCTTAAGGACGGGCCCAAGGCTCTTCCCTTCTGGAGCACTCCCTGTGCCATGCCCAGGAGTCCCTGGGCAGAGTCTGGCATGTGACCAGTGTGCAGTGAGAAGAGCTGAGCGTGCTCGTGTCCTTTGGGTGGTGCGTCGTTCTCCAGCAGTGGTCACCACAACAGGCAGTTGGCGCACAGGCCGGCCCTGGTGCATGGTGGCGAAATCAGCTGTGTGTTTCTCTCTGTGTTCCCAGGGCTTGTTGACATCGGGGAAACGTTGCAGTGCCCAGGCGACTTAGCCCCCGAGGAGCTTGTGGCCCTGGAAAATCAAGCAGTCCTGACCAACCTGACGCACAAGTACCTGACAGTGATTTCCAACCCCAGGTGGTTACTGCAGCCCTTCCCGAGGAAAGGGGGGAAGGATGTGTTCCAGGTGGACGTCCCGGAGCACCTGATCCCTTTGGCCCCCGAGTTGTGACCCTTGTGGGCTCCAGGGAGAAGCGTCACTGAGAGGCCAACTAAATCATGGCACAGTTCCCTCATCATGGTGCAGACCTGGAAAAGCAGCTTCAGTCCGAATCGCCACTGCCCTGCGTGGTGCTGCTCCCTGAGTGCTGTTCTCAGGCACAGACTTCTGTACCCAGGTGAAGGGAATGGGGGGCAGGACTTCCTTCCTTTGGGTTCATAGACAGTGTCTCAAGTACCTTGACCTTTAGTGCCCGGAGCGTCTTGGCGTTGCCCCGACTCTGGTCTGCTACTTTCACATAGTACAAATAAATGTGTTCATGATAATCTTTGGTGTTCGGTGCACCTTTGTGTGTTTCCTCTCCCTTTGTTTTAATCAAAAGTCAAGGAACACTCGGATGTCATCCCCGGAAATTGGGGGTGGTCTGAGACTGGGCACTGGGTTTTGCTGGAGAGTGACCGGCATCTCATCTGACGCTTCTAGGGTGAATAGAACATCAGACGTAGAATCAGAGCAGCCATCTGACCTTTCACTTTCCCTCACCCTATGGGAAAGTGTCCCTGGATTCATGAAGCCTGTGTGTCATGCAGCTACTTAGTGTCTAACAAATGGTCCTGAATACTGCTCTGCTAGACTGAAGTTGTCTTGAAAAGAGATAGATCATGTTTTTGTCGATTTCTTAGCAGTTTCTGCTGGTTGGAATATTAAGAACAATTTCTGTGGGTTGGCATGAACATTAGGGGCTTCTCCCCAGAGGAAGTCTGGAATGACTGGCTCGTGAGAACCAGAACATCATAGTTGTCCATCCCTGGCAAGAGGCCAGCCTGATTTTGAGGTAGTTCTCTTCAGGGATGTGGGAGGTTGGGCCAGGGAAGCTCTGCTACTGGTCAGAAACTTCTGGCAATACTAGGGACGGAGGAGCTGTGAGGAAAGAAGCTCCTGTTTCAAGATGCCATGAGCAGCTGGATGTGGTGCTGCACTCCCAAATTCCAGCACTGTGGGAGGCTGAGGCAGGAGGATTGCAAGTTGGAGCCCAGCCTGAGCAATTTAGCATGATCCTGCCACAAAATGAAAAAGGGCTGAGGATGTAGGTCGGTGAAGGCCCTGGGTTCAGTACACACACACACAGGACACAGTACACACACACACACACACACACACACACACACACACACACTCACCACACAAAGCCAGCTGAATAGTGTGATGCAGTACCCAGGTCAGGAGCTAGGCTTGTCTGTCTCCTGAGCAGCAGCCAAGTCTCAGAGGACCAGATCTTACCAGATCTTCTGGCCTTGCCCGCAGAAATGGTGGCAAAATCCTTGGGGGGTGGGGCATGATGCTGGTGCTTCAAGGGGAAGAAGACAGTGGGACCAAAGTGTGTGTAAGCCATGACATGACTAGTACAGAAGGTGAGAAAGAAACAGAGGTGCAGTTCTCATTTCTATCATTTATTTTATTTTTTTTGTTTGATTTTTTTGTTTTTTTCTCATACCGGGAATGGAACTCATGACCTTGCACTTGCTAGGCAGGCGCTGTGCCGCTGAGCTAAATCCCCAGCCCCCATTTCTATCATTTATTTCTCCCTGGGGATCTGCTGGTCTTATCAAGACTGGAACAGGTTCATTACTGGGAAAGGGTGAGTCACAGTGTTATTGTAGATTGGGCCTGTCTTTCACCTGTTCACACATCACAGACTTGGAGTCTGAGGAGCCCTCCTGCTCCTCCTCATTGGAATACTCATCTGGGGTCTTGGCGGAGAGGGCGGTCAGCACAATGGAATAGCACGTGTTGTACAAAGTCATCACAGCACAGTGATCACGGTAACCTGGGGCGCTGCTGGGCCCTTCCCCCTCACCCTTTACTGTGGCGGTGGCTGGAGCCGCACACGTGACATTCCTAGCGGTGCCCTCCCCACTTGGGCCACTTGGCGCCTGAGGAGGCTGGTTATCTAAGCCATTCCCAGTGATGCTTTTCAGAGCCCATATGCCAGAGGACACCGTGGGCTGGGGGGCTCTGGGGCCCTTATTTCTGGAGGCTAGCCTCTGGGACTTCCTGCAGACTGTCTGAGGAAATCGTGGGGAGTGTCTGGTCGCTACTGGCTTCTTTTTCTTCGGTTCATCAATCCCTTGCCACGAAGGCTTTTTAAGTAGAACTGGTTCACAGGTCCCTCGCCAAGCAGGGTTTCTGAGGTCTCCTTTCCTCCAAATATTCTCCAGGCTTATCTCTCTGGAAATTGGAGTTGTAGTAGATCTGAAACCAAACAGCGTATTTCAGCCACACTGTGATAAAATGTGCCCGCTCCCCCCCCCTCCGAGAAAGTTAAATGTTCTTGTTTAGCGATAAAGAACATAACTTAGTTGCTGGCCTACAAGATGACTTCCTAAAGATGTAGTCAAACCTTGGTTTGCGAGCATAATGCCTTCCGGAAACATGCTTGAAATCTGAAACTCTTGTGTATCAAAGTGAATTTCCCCATGAAAAATAATAGAAACTCAGATATTCATTCCACACCCCAAAAATATTCTTGCAAAATGATTATGATACTGTAATGTAAAACAAAATAATAAAGTACAAAATATAAAGAAAACAATTAACCTACCATTAGCTTTGAAAACCTTCATGGCTAATGTGAGAGAGACGAGAGAGAAGAGGGTTCTTGTGTGGGGCGTTTTTCACTATCACTACCAGAATCACTGCTATCTATTGGCTCAATAGAATCTCTTTCTTCTTGTGCAACTTTAACGAGGAACCTATCCAGTGACACTTGCTTTTGCCTCCTTTTGAAGGTTTCATAGAAATGTGACATGGCATTGTCATTAAACCGATTCACTGGGTGCAGTGCTACAGCCTTATTTGGGTGGTGCTTTACTACAAAATTTTGTAGTTTTCCCCACATTTGACACATCTCCCTAATCTCATTTGAAGTGAGGGATTCTTCCACCTTTCCTCCTCTTCCACAGAGTCTCCTCCATAATCTCTTGCTTTTGGGAGACAGTCACCCACAATCCTGGTGAGAGAGAGAGGAGAGAGAGAGAGAGAGGAGAGAGAGAGGAGATAGAGGAAGAGGGAGGGAGAGTGAAGGAGGGAGGGAGGGAGAGAATCACCATTGGCTCAGTTGTGATCAGGTGACATTCGGTATCATGCACTACTTGTATTTCAAGACATCACTCATTTATCACATTCAATTTTATTAGAAATGTTTGCTCATCTTGCAGAACACTCACAGAACAAGTTACTCATAGTCCACAGCTTTACTGTAATGGCAATACATCTGTGTGCCATTGACTGCCCCCTCAGCCTTTATTCTTGCCTGAATATGGTCTCTATAGGGGCTCTGATTTAATAGCAAAACCTATTCTTTCAAAGTCTAACCCTTCATTTGTCAGTACATAACATCTAACACTAAAGAGTTGCCCTTGGAAGTTCAGCCCTTACAGAATACTGGGGATTCATCTGGGGAGTCTATGATGAGGGCGAGTAGCAGAGACACACCAACTAGAGATACTTTCTACTTTACCATCATTCTCTTGTTTCTCCAGGCTCAGCCTGGGAGTCATGTGGGTATATCTGTCGGAAGCCATAGAAATGAAGTTGGTGAATGAAACTCTTCAAGTTGTCTGCTTCAAAAATCCTCTCTGGGTCTCTCTGGCCAAGAATTTCCCTCTGGAAAAGGTCCACCTCGATGACCACAGTGTCTCCATCATCATTCCAGCACACAGACTCTAACGCACCATTCTCCACTACGCTCCAAAGCTTTTTGGGAAAGGAGAGCACGGCGGTGTCACTGCTGCCTTCCTCACTGGCCGTGCATTGGTTTGGGTTCTCTGGTTGCTGCAGCTCCTGGGAGCCTGGATCTTGGCACACGGCATCGTCATCATCCCTCTCTGAAACCTCCCCGCCGTCCTCACTGAACTTACGTACAGGGTTAGAAGGGGCTTCCCTCGCTCGCTCTTCACCAGCAGCTGGGGCTGGCATAGCTTCACAGTCAGCTTTTTCAGTCAAGCTGTCCGTGGCACTACTCTAGCATCAGGAGCCTCTTGTGCCCAAGGTGGCTATCGCTGTCCTGGCAAGTCAGAACTGCCCAATACTGTCCGTAGAGTACTAGGGCCTTGGCACTGGGCGACTGTCTGCTAGCATCATCATCCTCTGTGTTTGTCACGTGATGTTACAAAGGTGGCAGACCTCCTGGAGAGGGGGGTTTCTGGGCAAGTGTATGTGTGTGTGTCGGGGGGTGGCAGGGTCACAGGTTTTCTTTTTTCAGGTATATAAAGGCCCTGGTCAAATTCCCAGAAAAGCCTCCTTTTTCTGGGACAGGTGCATGGTGTCATGGGCCCAGCCCCTGGGTAAAGTGAGGGGCCAGCGCATGGGGTAAAGTGAGAAGCCAGGGTCCCAACCCCTCCCATTCCTGAGGTTAGAACAGGCCTGGGGCTGCCCTCTCTGATTTACTCCTGCCAGGCCCCAGTTAGTGTTTGCTTGGGAAGTACCAAGACTGCGGGGTCAGATGGGCTGCTGGCCTAGCCTTAGTTGGTGCCCACCCCCCATGCTCCACTGCCCCCCCTTCCTGCTTTGGTCTCTTCCATCTGCTCCTGCACCCTTAGCCCCCTTTGACAGTTGGCCTTTGTTTCTAAATGGGAAGTACAGTGGGGGCTTAGAAGGGAATCTTCTCAGGCGCATTTCAGTCCACAGGCCCGCTACTGCTTAGTCATGTCCTCATGTCTGGGTTCAGGCTTCCTTCCTGGTCATGATGCTTTTAAACAGGGGACAAAGGATTCTCTCAAAAACTCAGTTTCCCCAGAAAGCACAGGCACTGAGAGCCTAAGGTATGAAATAGAGGCAATCGTGGGTGTGTCTGGAGGGGGCTTTAGAGTGTTCAGTTAAACAGCCATCGTCCTTCACTTACAGGCCGTCTTTTCCTGAGGTGATTTCTTAAGACTGAGGGTGATATTTTGTTGCCGTACTAACCATCTTCATGTTACTACCCTGAAATCCCCAAGAGAATTAATTTATAAAGAAAGAAGGTAGAAAAGGTTTATTTAGCTCATGCTTGTGGAGATTGCCGTATAAGATCAGCCAACTCCATGCCTTTGGGCCTGCGGAGGGCACATCACACCACTGTGGGAGGCAGAGCAAAGCACTTACACTGCAAGCCTGGAAGAAGAATGAGAAGCCTGGTGGGCTGGGGTCCCACACTGCCATCAGGGCCGTGCTTCCGATGACCTAAGGCTCTTCC